ACAGCATGTCAGTAGAAGTGCGCTGTCGTGTTTCCAAAAGTTCCCTGAGAGGACTGAACACTGCATAAAAAGTATTGTCCACAACAATTGCAGGTAAGTCGAGATGAAGCCACCTCAAAATTGTAGGAATTGACAGAGCTGTTTTATCTTACGTGCACCGGGAGGTATGATTACGCCTGAAGAAATGGACTGAGTCGAAAGTAATCCAGCAATGTTCTTACAAACTTAATCTTTCGGTAATGGAGCGTCCCACTTGTGTGGTTAATTTCATGAGCGTTTAGATCCAGTCACAAGTAGTACTTTTGGTCTGGTCTGGACGTACAAACCAGAAGCCTACACAGTAAATCCGACATCATGTACTGTGTCCAAAGTAGACTGGGTTGGTTGACAAGATGGGTGGACGAGCTGAGACGAAAAGACAAGGCAGTAGCCAATGAGAAAGCACGCCATACAAGTGACCAATGAGAAACGAGACGCCGATGTCAGATGGCACTGTCGCCTTGTGAAATAAACGAGCAACCGGCTACATAATTTCACCACGTCCATCGCCATATTATTCAGGTAAATGATAGTTGACAATGTTGACTACTATGATAACAGACCAATACATTGGTGGTGAGGTCATACGTTCTCGTGCTCATTCTGCTTCAAAATAATGGAAAATAATGGCGTGGTTTGGTGCCGCATGTGGTGCGACTAGAGGACAAGTGAGCTCGATTTGCAATAACATGACAAACATTGTGCTGATTGCGGCCAAAACTGGGCAGTGGAGAGTGAAAAACATAGGATATTTGTTTGGCCGAACAGTGCACGGTGGTTTACTAACAACAACAGTCCAAGGGGCACAACGAGAGTCATGCAACACATCCATTCGCTCGTATTCCACCATCGCGCTAGTTATCAATCCCTCGAATGAAGGATGAAGAGGTAGTTAATATGGACACTGCCTGGTTTCAAGCTTTGTTTGAGGCCTTGGAACACGTCTTCTTGTCGGCCACAAAAATGGACGTCTTTGCCAACGAACCGCCAAGCATTACCCTGTGTGATCGATCGGCGGAATTATCGGATCAGTAATCACATACCCCACTGAATTAGCCCATTGGCTCACCACTATCATCGAATTTCTGCATATGGAGTGTATGAGAGACGCTTAATTGTAACACAACTTCACATCCTGGTTGCAGCTGTTTCATTGCCACGTTTTGGCGTTTTGTATGGTCTGGTCTGGTTTCCATGCTGTAATTGATCCTGAACGCTTTCCGGGTATCGCATGTGTTTCACAACTTAACTTGTTCCGGTTATTGTTCTCGAACTTATCTGCCACGCTTCTGAAGTGAAGCTGAAGATCGTTACGATGCGGAACGATCTTATTTGGCCTGACTAATGCGACCCAAATTAAGAAGTTCACTGGAAGTTCATTACCGTCGATTTCAGTGCGTTCCATTCACTCATTCCCAAGCATCCTTCTTCCTAGTCCCCCTGGCTTTTCTCAATATTGATCAGTGGATAAACAAAGTAGTCATCAACAATGGTATTATCGATTAAAACACCATTTTCATAAGTTTACTGAATATATATGTGGTGAAAACTCGGGGACTATGCCTATCCAAAGAGCTCCATAAAGAGCGAAACCAGCTGTGGGCTGGTGAACAGTGTTCGGCAATCTTGGAGCAGTGTGCTCTGTCAAGAAGGTGTGCTTCTTGTATATCAACTACCGTGCAAATGAACTGTGTGGTGACCGTTGGGCAGCACACCTACTTGCAGAAAACTATAAACGAGTAATTCGGCTCAATCTCTCGTTAACACAAGTGAGTAGTTTTGGCGTTTTGTATGGTCTGGTCTGGTGTCGCTAGCTATAATGAGCGTACTTCTTCCAACTGCCACTCCGTTCAACTTGGTTGCGATGCTTCAATCACCGCCTGTTACGTAGTCAGACGCGTATACGTCTATTCGTTCACACGTTGACACCGGGGAATGATGACCTACTTCTAGGAATCGCCCGTAGAACAGGAGCCCTCTCGTGAGCATTCCGCTAATAATTGCTCTTCAAATAGCAATCACAGAATGTCGATTCGTGTGTTGGATATTATGATCCTTGGTTTTGCTGTATCTTGATTACTCACCCTAGGTTGAGTACGCATTGTCTCGCGGCATTATGCTATACATTTAATATATATTCATGGTAATTGGCGTGTTCCACAATATACGGGAAGTAATACGGTGACGAAAACCACATCGCCACAATATTGTTAGTGTGATAAAATGTCTTGTGCGTCATTGCCGTTGCTTCTAGGTATTTGGGAGGATGTCTCCGGTCTGCTGCAATCCCCTTGTTCAAGTTTCCATCTATGATGTCGAGATGGGCCTAAAGAGACTTTTCTGCAGACAGGTGCTTTTAAGAACCTGCCTTACCATTCACTGCCCCCCCCCATTATTCGTTTCCAACCGGAATCTGTGTTGGCAAAGAGGCCCCGCTGAGAACGCAAGTGATGTGGCTTCCTTAAAACATAATCCGTATACCGCAGTTGTTACCGAATTAGCAGTGCGCCAGTAAGGCAGTAATTTTGCCCTCTACAGAATGTGGTCGTTGTTTCCATGTTTCTACTGGCGTTTGTGTGTGATGGTTTGTAAGCATATAAAGTCCTCTCCTGACATCTGTGCCGCCTACATGTGTTTCACATCCATAGGGGCATGCACGCACGGGAGGCTGCATACTTATCCTTTCAGTGGCGCTACAGCTCACTGAAGTTTATTTAGCCTCTCTCCGGATGAGATTGGTGACCTCGTTTCACACCAGTAGTAGTGGAGCTGCTTGTTATATGTCGGTTTTTCCAAAATAGTTTTCGAGTGAGCGCTTTCTTCCAACTGCCGATCCGTCAAAGTTAGATGCAATGCTTTCCCTCCTTATTTGGACGCCTATGAGTTTCTTCATTCACATTATGACACTAAGGATTGAGATGACTATAGGGCGAGTTTCCTGACCGGAAAGTCGGTGGTTGGAACCCGACCTCTGCCTCTTGACTTCCTGTCTAGGCTTGGGCAACCTGGAGATATTCCAGTGCTCGTGCTTCCTTCGGGTGGCATAGCATAGGTGTTACAGTTGAACGTTTTTTCGGACGCTAGTGAACGACGACCTACTTCTAGTAGTACCGCAGGTCAGGTTTTATGTTCATCGGTTGTCTGCAGCAGTATCCGTCAATCATTCTCCCAGTAGGCCAAACTGATCAATTATGCTATTCGTCCTTGACTTGATATCCAAGGATAGGGGACAATCGGTGAAACACCAGGCTGGACTCATGTGCTTGGTTGTCATACATTAGTACGAGGAACGATTTATCACAGCAATACATAGACATTCGGCACCAGTAAAGTGAGAACCTCACGTTTGACGAGTTACTTTTTACAGGGTGTGCGTTATTACGAAAGCTGTAGCTGTGGTTCGTACGGGCTGAGTGCTTTGTAGCAAACTTGTTCACTCGTTGGAGACAACGATTGAAGCGATCGGGTGGAACTTCAGTCACTGTGAATGACAACCACGGAAACTCGAGGGGGGTACGACGCTGCCCCTCTCCCCCAAAAAACAACCGAGGATTGCTTCCATCACAGACATGACTCGATCTCAGATTTCTTATCATTATAAGATGAGTCGGGTTTTTCAGACTGTGATTTTAGTACATATGACAGTTCACGGGAAGCGGCAATGGCTGATCTGGATGCCAATAATGACCTTGTTACCAATGGATGAATCCCAGAGGACGCTTTGGGCCAACTTTAATGATGAAGTTAGGAGAAAGGTCATCCCCACGCTGAACCGAATGACAGGACACCAAAGCATGTACCGAGGCGCATCAAATTGTAACCAATTTATTTTGACGGAATACCACGGCTTCCATGGTCTTACTCTAGAAGTGAATCGTATTGACACACCGCACCAAATCATCTTGAGGATTATATGAAGAATACGATTGCACAGTAATGACAACCCTGTCAGAGAAAATCAATGGGGTCCATGTCCACCTTCGAAAATGAGCTTAAAATCGTGAACAAGTTCCAGAAGGCACTCTGACGAACGTGTGCCCAAAGACGAAGTAAACCACTGAGGAATCAAGCCACTTCCTAAATGTAAGGTTGACATCCCCAATCCCAAAAATAACAGACAATCGGCAGCACACGTTGGAAAAGTTGTGCCCATTCCCTGATCTTATCGTATTTACCGATCGCATTCAAGCGTCCCCTCGCGAGTGGGCGATTCCAGAGAGTACGACTAAACTAGTTTGCATGCCAACAAAACGATGGGCTGTTCGCACCCCTGAAACCCAACCATTTCACTAGCAAAACCGGTTGTTTTGTAGTTGAAACTAGCTAGACATAATAACCCAGCGTTTCATGAAAGGAACAGACAGCAACGTAAAAATTTATGGAGCGTAAAATTTCGGGCATTGGGCTTTCTTCAGTAAAACCACCCAAAAGGGTACCGAGATCCTTTTGCTTCGAGAGAACTGTGCAGGTGAGCTGGATTCACCATACAATCACTTGATGACCCGCTTGCACGTGAGTAAACTGCGCATCTATCCGACCTCCGGTCAGAAATTGTTCAAAATAAACCAACTCGGAGTGATACGCAACTACAGGAAGGCGTTCGGGATAATTGGGCTGTTTCTAGACAGCCCAAGACAGTGGTCAGGGCGAGAACCTACTGGCCGATAGGTCCGTGTTCCGAATCCAACCTCTGCACATCTTGACTGTTCTTGTCTAGGCTTGGGATACCTGGCAGTATCTCATCCTTCGTGCTACCTTCGGATCACATGGCGGCTGGGCACTGGGAGTGTTGCAACGGAACGCTTAGTTGTCCTTACTATCAGACACTACCCCCAAGACCACGTCTTAACGGGTCATAGACCATTCAGTTAGGAGTGTCAAAGTCGAATGACTGAGTCCCTTTTTGTTGATTCAACCAAGGAGTAGCCCTCAAAGTCCAAGAGAAAACAACAGAACATAATCCGCGGTCAGTGAACTTTTTCGTGCATTTTCGTAAAAATTTAACTCTGTTTTTTGTGTATGATGGACATGAATAAGTCAAGAGTATGTACAAAAATATACATGCACGCGAATATGTGGAAAGTGCACACTCCACCGTAGGCGGCAAAGGACCAGCACCAAGAGTTCTTACACATCCAAAAACGTCTTGTTCATACACAGGCGAAGATGCTTCTTTTTGAATTGGGACTAGAAGCGAAAGTGGAGAAAAACGGGCCAAATCGTTCAAGGGTTACCTGACAAGCATTCCAAGCAACAGCATTAGAAGAGACCATATGTTCGCGCGCGCACACAAGGTCAGAAATCAATTAAATGCCAGATCGTCAACGAAACACAAGTATGAGCCACAAGGTTGCAGTGGAAAGTAAGAGCCAAGAGAATAGAATAAAGTGAGTTTGGAGAAAAAGATAGATACATGTGAATATTTACACAAAATGTGAACGAGCCCGGCCGGGTGTCAGAACATATCACGCTTTTGGACACAACACTGGGTGATTCACAGATCAGATGGGAACCAGAAAGAAATGATGACGGGAAGCGAAGAATAAGTGGTGTGCAATCAGTGCACTTGGAATGAGACAGGGGTCACCATGGCTCCGGTATCTGTGTCAGCGGGTCCAAGTCATCGGGAGAGGGAAAAAACTGACGTCTAAAGCCAATCATATCAACCCATGGCAGTACATGTAAGTACTGATCGTCAATAGTTAAAGAATACAAATCTGTCAGTAATCGTAAGTTACCTTCGTCATCTGAAGTGCGGTTTATACCGGGCCAAACATCGGAAACTAGTCTATCTGCACTATCTGGTATTGACGAAAGACTTTCCCAGTTTGAGGAAGAAGCAGGTCTATCCAGACTGGACCAGTCTATTTGCGCTGGAAGGGCGGGTAAGGATGGCCAATCGTCAAGGTGATTTGTGACGGGATTATATACAGTGGGACCACCTAGTAAGTGCTTGTGACGATGCTTGCGCTTCTTTTTTCGCTTTTTCTCTCTGGATTTTTGGTTATCTGAGTCCGTATCTATTTGAGGTCGTTCGGTATCACCTCCATGGACTCGGGGAACTCCTGAGTTGTTACCATTGGTGAGAAGCTCGGAAGAAACAGAGTCCAGTGGTTGTACGGAATCCAACTGCGATGGGAAAGTTTCTGTCAATGATACTGCGGAGAGCGAAGGTTTGGATGTGGGACCTGATATGCTTGATGAAGGTTTATGTACTGTTTCTCGATCTACATGGCGTACGGAGGGTCTGGAAGAACGCAGCTCATGGGGCTGAGAACCCTTACAAGAGGCGGCAGTGGAAGGAGCTGTACGAGCTTGTCGGGTCTTTGCAAGCTGCGGAACAATGGACGGTCTCGGTGGATCTGGTTCTTTGCTGATCCTGTTGGTTAAAATCCGATCGGCAGTTACGGAGTCGATACAGTCACCAGCTGCTTGGACCAACTCAGCCGTAGACTTCACTTTTGCCAGACGATGCACAGCATTCTGGACATCCTGCCTGTCTCCTTTTGGCTGGGCTTGTGCCTCAGTGGACTGCTGATCACCCAATTCTCGTAGAGGAATGCTAGCAGTATTGGACTTTCCTAGTGAAGTGGCTGGCCTGAATGAAGGAAATGATTCAGATGTGGGAACAACGGGCCTAGTACCGTTTACGAGAGGTAAACAAGAAGTAGGTTTTGTGGTTGCGGGTTGAGGAGATATGTTAGATTGTGTTCGGGCTCGCTTACTGGGAGTCGTGGGCTGTTCCGTATGTGATGGGGCAAACGAAGTAATCGGGACAGAATGATCTGTGGTACCAGATAATGAATGATATGGACGTTTTAGGCGTGTAGTTGTGTCCGAAAAATTAACCACCGGACTATTAGATCTACTGTCCGAAGTGTTGACCGAGGCAGATGTGAGAAAGTGTTGAGAATTTCGCATATTCTCACGAAAAGACGGTTTAGTTGGAGTCCCATTGGACGGCTGGCAGTCCGAACCCTTTGACGACTGGTTGGGTGTGTAAGATGCTGCATAGCATTTTAAAGGGATCACAGAATGACAGGCGAATTCAGGAGAAAGGAGTTTTTGCCACGCCTTGATGACAAATCGGATGCGTTTCTGAAGTGGGGTGTCCACTTTGTGCCGAATCGTCTGCAAAAGTTGACCGATGCGCGTGTCTTGTAACTGGCCCATTGTCATAGGGAATGTTTCGAGTTGTGCAACTGCATCCAGTACAGCGTCCGAATTCGTGATCTAATACAAGAAAAACAGCATTGTCTGTAAACTAATGGATGCAACGTGTGCCAAAACATTCATAATTGTTCAGCCTGCGGTTTAACTAAGTCTGTGTCAGAAATCATGGTAGGGAGTGTAGCGGACAGACAAAGCAAGGAGGCGAGTCAATATGGAGAAATTCTGAAACGGACATTCAAAAGAGGCAAAGCCCCTTCATCGGATCATTAAATAATTAAACGTGATGTTTTGGATAACCAGACAGGTGGTCGAAAGCATCACAACATGCAGTATTTGTAAACAAATTCTTCCATGAAATGGAAGACTGAGAACCTAAACACACCATTTATTGTGAAATTTAGAAGAACGAAAGATGGATGCTTAATCTCGGAAGAACAAAACGCCCGAATATTGTAAATAGGTCTTTCGCTCAATTTCAAGTTAGCTTAATCCACCGTTTGGTAAGGAGGAAAGCTGATCTAAGACAGCGAAAATAGATGTAGAGAGAACAATATCCCGACAGCATTCTGCAACTATCGATAGCACAGTAGTTTCGCCAGGACAGCTCAAAAGGGCATTGCTCGGATGAAAGCAACATGAAAAGAGAACAAAGATGCAGTCAAATGAGAATAGGCTACGGGAACCCAAAAAAATTGTTCGTACATTAAATAGGAGCCAGATGTATTCTGTCAATTTAGGCCTTAACCAGAAGTCTAAGTGTAACTTTCGACGGGAGTGATACGACGAATTCCACGTATCCGGCCTTGAGTTGTGGAGTGACCATATGTAGCACCGCAGTTGGCCGGGTTCTCTCAAAAACCCGAAAACATCCCTTCTCGTTGAACGGCCATTCGTGTGTAGTGGCAGTAAGCAAACGTACAATTTATACGATCAATTAGGCTGGATCCATGGAGCCGAAACAATCAAATTTACCGGTGATACGTCTAATTAACCCTTCAACCAACTACCGAAAGCGAAGAGCTCAAGCATGCACACAGGCAAACACTCGTGGATTCGGTCAGTTCACTTTCGAACGCCGGTCATCACACACTTAAGGATTCAACCACAGTTAACATACACGTAAATAAATGCGGCTGTGTTAAAGTTGAATTACATCAAAGATGCACCTATATGGTGATTAAAAGTTGGCACCCAACCAATTAATGTACGCAACCATTTGTACATACAGTACGACGGTTTGCAGGTGGTAAATAATTGATGATCGGTTATCGTCAAGCTGTAGCACCCGTGGTACCTAGCTCCAATGCCACTCGAGGGAACAATGAAGGGTGAGATAGTGCCAGATCGCCCAAGTCTAAATAGGAGCAGTCGAGACGCAGGGATGAGGTTCGAACCACGGACCTATCAGTCATTAAGTCCACTTCTTAACCGCTGAGATACTTTTAGCAAGCTGTGAACGAGTGACTCAATCTGAAGGGCTAGAGGTCTAGAAGATCCGAGCAAAGCAACAAATAGAAGACACACCAGAGTACCTTCGAGGTTCCATTCAGCCAAGATACCAGGAATGCTCTCACCTTTTCATGTTAAACCATACGCATATCAGTCCAGCGAGACTGAACTGAGACTGACTACGTCTTACATGACAAGGCATCCCATAAAATGTAATCAAATTCAGAAGATGAACTGATAGTAATACTGAGGTGCTCCGATGAAAACCATGCGTCTCACGCCACATGTTGGACACCCGCTACAAAAGCTTAACGTCATAGCCAGTCATCTTGGAAATTTTATTACCACCACGATTCTTTACGAGCCGTCTTAAAATGAAATCAAACATGAAAATCGCACAATGCCATAGAGAAGGCTGTCCTCTCGTCCCCGTTTCGGAGTTGTTGTCAACTGCTCCGGCGTATCCGTGTAAGCATCTGAGTACCAGAATACCCTGCTGGTCTTCCAAAGCATCTGACCCGAGAGCTCCGCAGCCCGCCTTCCAGTATGGTGACTTGAAATGTCATCCACTATCTTTTGTCTACCTCAGTAGTACCAACTTCACCACGTGGAGATAGCACATCCCCGACCGAAAAAAGACCTGATTGCAACGCTTTCATGCATTCGTTTCATCAATGCAAGATTTCTTATCAGTAATTGATGGCGACAGAATTATTAAGTTCAAGTGCCACGAGCACCAACACAAGAAGTGAAGACTTTTCGTAACATCGAGGCAATGGATTTTCCAGCGTTTGGTTGTGCCTACAGAGCAGTAATATTTGACACACCGTAAAAATGCGGCATCTGTGGTGTCCATTTGGGCGAGAAAATAAGCAAGCCCTAGACTGCTATGGTAAATGACGGTTGTCGGTAGACACACGTGATTGTCACAAAGATGTAAGACCACAAAACACCTCAAGATACGCTAGAAATGAATTATGTACCGCAAGGGCATAGACGGTTGATTTCTAGCTAGTCCGCATTGATATCACAACAATGATAATCACTGAGGATTCGCTGCCATACAACTATGATTTATTTGAAAGCCGTACTGTGAAGAATAAAGGTGGGAGGAAAATGGACTCAGAGCCAGCAGAGCCAGACACTCATTCAAGTAATCTGGATAGAAAATGACAAGATCAACAGTTACACCGGTTGGCTGCCAAATCTTGCAGTGTCTCCAACCAGGCGCAGTGAAGATCACACGGTCCCCATTCTGGAGAGCGACAGCACCCAAGCGTTTCGTAATTCCCTACATACCACTCCCCCAGATCAAGGGTCGGCCATCTCTCTGCATCCGCCACTAGGAATTGGGCATGGAAAACACTCTCTTCGGCAAACGATGATTAGACATAGGCAACCTATGTTCCAACCAACGCAGTCTCTTCAATCGATGTACCTGTTGCACAACCGGAAACACGCTTCTTCATTGCCCCGCCGACACCAACCCACACGAGCTAAAGTTTTGAGGCAACACCTGAAGATGTCTCAATCCCGCTGCTCGAACAAACCAAGCCTCACAGCCATACATCACAGCGCGTACTGTAGCTTGGTACAGGTCTCTTGAGATTTGGCGACACTACTTTGACAACATAGGTGTCTCAAATTAGAAAACGCGATCCGAGCCTTGCAGATTCGTGCACTGACCGCATCCATTACACTACAGTCAGAACTAATACAACATCCAAGATACGTGAAACGCTCCACGACTCCCAGTGCCTCTCCCTGGATTGCAAATGGCGTGTTCAGTGACTGCATGTCCAGGAGCATGACCTTCACTTTGTGAGTACAAAGTGCATACCAAAGGACGGGATGACTTTTGTTAGTTTATCCAAAAAACACCTAGGCCTGCTGTTCGAAGGCGAGAGCGATATAGTCTGCATATCCCAGATCGGCAAGGTTTTGGTCACAGACTGTTTGGACACCGAGGTTTTGAAGATCTCCCACTGTTCGTCTCATCTTATCGATCAGGAAATTAAATAAGAGTGGAGAAAAAGGGCACCTCTGATGGACACCACCTTGAGTACGGAAACTTTTGGAGAGCTCTCCGTATACGCACACACGTCCGGAAGTCTGAGAATACAAAGAACTTATGTTCACGGACTTTTGGGGAATGCCTTGGTGGGCAAGCGTGTCAAGAACAAACCAGTCAACCGAATGGAATGATCAATAGGAATCTATGAACACCAAAATTGTGGGTCGTTTGTACGTATGGTTTTCTTCTAGTACTGGATGTGGGTGTGGAAATTTGGTCAACGCAAACCCTAGGAGGTCGGAATCTCGCTTCCTGCTCTCGAGTCAGTGTTTCACGAGCCCCCATAAGGCAACGAAACGCAACTGTGGCTAGCAGTCTCGTTACCATCGGCGTCAAGCTGATCCCCCCTGTGGGTACACACTCACTACGAGCCGTATTTTTGAAAATGGGCACTGTCACCGACTCTTCCCAGCTGTCTGGGACAGAATTCTCTGACGAATACAGGCAAGTAGACCGGAGAACTGACTGGGGACTTCACGCCATCTTTCAACAATGCGGGGTGGGAGCTCGGTGGCGCTCGAGATGACATATGTAGTCATAAACCTCCGAAGCCGTAGAAGGTTCTACGTCTACCGTCCAGGGTTCTGCGTCAGTTGGTGGCAGATGGCGGTCGCGATTACTGTTGTTCGAAGTATTCCGCCCACCAGGCGTTCTTCTTTATTCGAGATGGTCGTTCCATTCTGATACTTGATGGATTCGATCACAGACAGTTTCCGGAGACCAGTCGCACGGACCAACTGAGATAATCTTCCGGCATTACCGGCTTTCTGGGCCTCTTCCGTTTCCTTGGCTTTCTGTGTCCACCATACTTCGCGGTCGGATCGCAAGCTCACTTTCACTTGACGTCTGATAACTCTTCGCACCGGGTTATGTTCGGGACCGGCTGGGATATTTCTCCAAGATTTGAGCAGTGTCACTGTTCGATCCGATATCCAGTGCTTGGTTGCACATGGTAGTGCCGTGCCACAGGCGAAATTCCCAGCTCTATGCATAGGTGGCAATCCCGTCCCAATATGAGTTCACATCTGATGGTGGAGCAATTGGAAGAGACCCTAGAAGACGATCATGGTAACTTCGCCTAACATCCGGACTTGCCAGTCTTTCAGTTGCCAAGCGATTTGTTCGCACCTTACGCGGCTTCGGAAAACGTAGACAGAGGCGACCCCAGATCAGCGCATGTTCGGAATCCCCAAATGTGTTCCAAAAGGACCTGCAGTCAGCTACTGATCCATGCCACCGGTAACTGATGGAAATGTGATCGATTTGAGTTTGTGGCCGGCCTGCCGTTGGAGGACAACATGTGGTCAGACGACTTCGGCTATTCGGAAGCTAGTACTTCGTAAAAACAGCCTGTGATCAGCACACAGCTGAAGCGATTGTTCACCATTGTCCGTACGTACCAAGTTCAATCCATGTCGACCTCCTATTTGAGTCTCAGATGCACTAAGCCTTCCCACTTGTGCATTCATATCTCCGGCAACCAGAATGATTGAGGTTTTAGCTCGCCACAGCAGGGTATTCAAGGCGTCGTAAAACC